CATGAAGGAAAAAAAGAGGCCACCTTACCAGAACTGGGCCCCGCGGTCCCTAGAAGTTTCTTGAGGGCCGTGTCTAATTCAAAGTAACCAATGAATATACGTTCAATCGTAGACTCGTGCTGGGACTGCGAGAGGCTCAGATCCCTTTATCCCAAGCACCTCCAGCGGACCAAATTGCGTTTAGGATAGGGTCGTCTGCCACCCCAGACTCTGGTCCCCGTCTGGGATGTCATCCGAAAGTGGAGGCAAGTGTGAAATTCCGGGTCAAGGATCCAATCCCCTATAAAAAGGTATGGGTTGGAGCTGAAATAATCCTCCATGAAGTATTTCCATGTAAAAAAAGGACACATATTATACTTTCTCGTATGTTCCTCTAGCACAACTCACTCGTGAAGCAAAAAAAAAAAAAAACGGCTTGCCAGTGTGGACTTAATAGTATAGCCACTCCTGAATACTAGACAGGTGCTTAACCAGCAAAACCGCAGTGCCCCATCGGGGTCTAAGTCTGGGTTTGCGGCTACTTAGTTCGGGAGCCTGGCTGGGAATACCGCTCGAATTATCCTGCGGGCTTCTCAAGCCAGCGGTTTACGGGCCCAGAAATGCACCGATGGTGCTAGGTGATCGTGCAGAGACCATTCCAAAGAAACAAGGTGAGCAATGGATCGAGTGTCGAACAGTGGTTCGTTTAAGGCGATCCATGAGAAGACCTCTTCTTCCACGGTCATCGGTGCCCCTGTAGTGGGCTTTGTTCTACATCTCATGGTGCACTAGGGGCCATCATCCTAGTCCACACCGGTCCGTCCGCCAATTTCGCTAGGGTGGCCATGGTGGGGAGGGGGGGAGTTACGGGGACCTTCACCCCTGCACCAAATAGGCAGTGTCGTCTGGCCGTCAAGGCCGATCGTATCAGGGTTAGACACTTCTCCGGAGTCTAATCTTTCCAGGTGTCTGGTTCCGGGCCTTCACCCTACTCGTAGTGCTTATGCGCCCTTGCTTGCTCTCCACTCGGAGAGTTTGACTCCTTCAAGTCGTCTTCCTTTTTAAGAAGGTGGTCATAGCCTACCCCGCGCCATGTAGGCAGGGCCATCTGGCTGCTTGCAGAGGGGCTAGTCGCTCCTCGGAGTCTTATCTTTCCGGGAGCCTGGTTCAGGGCATTCACTCTTCCAGTAGCACTCAGTCGCACTTGCCTGCTCTCCTCAAGGAGAGTCTGACTCATTCAAGTCACTGGTTCAGTGCCTTCACCCTTCCAGTAGCACTTATGTGCCCTTGCCTGCTCTCCTCTTGGAGAGTCTGACTCATTCAAGTCGCCTGCCATTTTAAAGGTGGGCCCTCTAGCGTCACGCTCCTGATGATAAGCTTAAGGGAGGACCCTGGCTGGAGCCTAATTCCACGGAGGTGGTCCCTGCCATAGTAGTCATTGTCTGCACTGTTAACCCGGATAAGGGTTTTCCTGTGCAATGGTCCCAGGCAAAGCAACCTCAAGGAGTATAGAGGACAAGTGTCACCAGCAGGGAGATAGGGGCAGCACCCCATATACTGACCGAGGCAAGTTGGGCAGCGCATGCAATGCACAAGCGTGAGTATGTGGCAGTAGGCTTGGCATGCAGACATTCTGGCACAGACTGCACAGGCCAGATCAATGGGGCACAGGCAAAGCAGGCCAATCAATGGGGCACAGACAAGTCAGGACCTTCAGAGATGTACAGGTGAGTAACTGCGCATTCCATTCTTCTGATAAAATGTACCTTTCACTCTTGAGATAAGATGTACATAACACTTCTTCAGCTTAATAGCACATAACACGCTTCTGTGTAACTGTAATTAACACTCTTCTGTGTAAACAAACAATACGTTCTTCTGTGTAACCGTACCGAACGCTCTTCCGTGTAACTGTACATAACACTCTTCTGTGTAACTGCACATAGTATATTACTGTGTAACTGTACATAGCATTCTTCTGTGCAACTGTACATAACATTATTTTGTGTGACTGTACCTAGCATTCCATTGTGTAACTGTAGATAACGCACTTCAGTTAAATAGTGCCTGACACTCCGTAAATAGTGAACTTGCACATTGAGTACACCTGTAGTCAGGGAACTCACCAACTGAGTTACCTCACAAGAGGTGCTCCATTGGTCAATATGATACAAACCGAGTGCTGCAAGCAATCATCTGAACAAACTGTGGTGAAACCGACCTCGCCACTGGGCATTGGAGAAGACTGATTGCCCGCCTCCTGCCATGTGACTATGGCCCCTGGGATGTATTGCCCTTTATAGACATGATTTGGGCATAATGGATTTGTGTTGTGCTGCTGCTGCTGGCCCTTTAAGAACCATCTGGGGACATACTGTGGAGTTACTGGGTGGCCACCATTTCATGTATCAGAGGCACATGGTGAGAACAATGGATGAAGCACACGGTGAGAACAATGGATGGCGGCCATTTTAATTCACAGACACTGTTTGGACTTTTCAACACGGTGCCATCTCGCCGGTATTTGGTGCACAGAGACATCGTGCAGTGGTTTTGGACTATACAACAAGGGACCCATCATACAGTAATTATTTTTCATATAGCCTGTATATGTTCTGCGGAATCTGCATTAAAATGTATCTTCCAAACTACTGAACGGATCTGGGTGAATTTTGGATATGTGGTTCACCCAGATCCCCTGGTTCCAAGGATATTTTTATGCGGTTATTGCATGTTTTGGGCTCCCTGTGATATGTTTTGTAATACTGTATTTCTCTGCCTGTGATAGTTAGATTAACCATTGTGTTCAGTAATCATATCACAGGCAGAGGGGAGGATTTTGTGTGGGAGTATCTGTGTGTATTGTACGGATTGATTGGCTGTGTTTCAAAACCCTTTGGGCAGTACTATATTTGTGGATTGTGAATAAAAGAGGCTGTATGTGCCACTTCAGTCAGTTCTGCTTGACCTCAAAACGAAGTGTCGTCTCGTTATTGAGGGAATTGGATTGTATGCTGATTGCCAGGAGTGTAAGCTGATTGTATGAACTCCTTGTCTTTCCTCCTCCTAATACTGATCCTCCTCTCTCGCTCTCCCTTCAACTCAGTGATATCCACATAAGTCCATCCCTGCAAGCGCGCTGTCTTGGCGTCATACTTGACTCTGGTCTCACCTTTGAGCCTCACATCCAGTTTGTTGCCAAGTCCTGTAGGTTCCAACTCAAAAACATAGCCCGCATTCGCCCCTTTCTTACGCAAGATGCTACCAAGGAGCTTGTCCATGCTCTAGTAATTTCCCGCATGGATTACTGTAACCCTCTCCTGATTGGTCTCCCCAAAAGCCGTATTGCCCCGCTACAGTCTGTCATGAATGCTGCAGCTAGACTTATCTTCCTCTCTAGTCGGTCCTCTCACACCTCACCCCTCTGCCGGTCCTTACATTGGCTCCCTGTATGCTATAGGAGTCAATTCAAAGTGCTAACCCACACATTTAAAGCACTGAACAATTCTAGCCCCACTTATATCTCTTCACTAATCCATAGATATGCCCCTCCTCGTACCCTCCGCTCTGCCCGTGACCACCTCCTGACCGCTGCTCGCACCCGTATGGCCAACTCGCGCTTGCAGGACCTCTCGCGGGCGGCTCCTCTCCTATGGAATAGCTTGCCTACTGCCATCAGACTCTCCCCTAGTCTTCAATCATTTAAGAAGGGCCTTAAAACCCATCTCTTCAGGAAAGCTTATGGCCTCCCAGAGTAATCTCTACCTTACATACCTGTCTCCTGCTCTCTCCTATGGGACAGTGCTTTGCCCTCTCCTCCAGCTCTGCTTCACTCCTACTTGATATTTCTTGTCCTAATGTTTCTAATACCCCACTTCCAATAGTCTGTAAGCTCGTTTGAGCAGGGTCCTCTTCAACCTATTGTTCCTGTAAGTTTTCTTGTAATTGTCCTATTTATTGTTACATCCCCCCTCTCAAAATATTGTAAAGCGCTTCGGAATCTGTTGGTGCTATATAAATGATAATAATAATAATAATATGCTTTTCTGTTCAGCTGCTTACAGCATTCATATGCTTGAGAGCATTCATATGCTTCTCCGGTTCGGTGGTTGTGGTGTCGGCTGCAGTGCTTGGAGTCCTCAGGAAGCGCTAGGAGAATCCTTCAACTGAGGTACCCAGTCGGGGTGCCAGGTGATCCGTTACACAAACAAAAGGGGGGGGAGGGGGGGTGTGAGTATAAATGGTAACACTGCCGGCTGTGCCTGTAACCCTTGAGGGGGTTGTGCACAGCTCTATATAGCAAGCCTGTGATCTATACCATCCACTATGGTCCCCAGTAGTCTAACCTGCCAGCCACATGGTGCACAAAGCCAGGACAGCCTGAGGGTGCAATGCGCCTGAGTCCCAGTCAAAGCTACAGCACATGTGCCTGCCATCAACGGAACTAGTGTGGTAAGTTTGCAAACTGGCCACACTGCATGGGAAGACCCCCACGGGAGCAGTTATACCGCGAGTAGAAGCGTGGGTCGGGTGGGGGATGGAGGCAGAGGATCTCGCTCAGCGACGGACGAAAGGTGAAGGGGCAAAGCCACCCGGAAAAGATAGAGGGAGGGAGGGAAAAATGAAATCCCCCCCCCCCAAACCCGAGAAAAAACTATCCCCAGACAGGGGGGCCCAACACAGGAAAATGCAGAAAAGTCATAAGAGAAAATACATCCCTACAGCAAAAAAGTAGGGACCGAAAAACACAATCTAAATAAATCATAACGGCAGTAGGAAGGTAAACACATTCTAAACAAATAAATCCCTGCAGCCATAAGAAGGTAGATGCAGAAAAACAGAGTAAATAAATCAAGCAATCACTAGAGCACTAAGGAGGTAGATGCAGAAAATACAGTATAGCTAAATAAATCAATCACTACAGCACTAAGGAGGTAGATGCAGAAAATACAGTATAGCTAAATAAATCCACCTTGCACATGCTGGAGAGACTGTTTGAGCAGCAGCAGCAGCAGGCGATAGTGGAGTTTCAGCTGCAGCACGCACGGGTCAGTGGCTCTGCACCAAACTTGCCCTCCAATTGATCAGAGTTAAAGGATTTCAAGTGGACTCATTACAATTACAGGATCTCTAAAGAGTCCTGTATTGTTATTTGTCGTCACTACCATCCCGTGTCGGGGGTGGGTCATTTGCGCACCTGCTCCCTTCCTTGCATGTGGTAGCCGTTTCTCAGGCTCCC